AGTTTTATGGTCATAGCTTGAATTAATTAGTTTACGGAGTAACTTTTTTTATTTGTTAGAATTGGCTTTAGCTGTGGTTATGCTCTTGCCCTAATTTGTGTGAAAATGGACAAGCCATAAAGGGCATTACTTGAGCAACTAATTGGAGTGGTCTCTTTCTCTGGAGCCATCTTGTTTGGTTTCTTTAAAAAATAAACGGATCCAGTTACTGATGTCGATGACGTCAATATGTAACAAAATCAACGGACGTGTGTTTCTATTTTCTTTTAGAATGTTATGAGATAAAACAAGCCAAAACACTGTTCCGGCTGATTTATTATGAGATAAAACACTGCTGGTTTAAAAAAAAAAAGATGGATTATAAGAGAAGCGAACAGGGCCTTTATTGATTCATTCTCAGTATGTAAAAATGGTGCGCTTGGATCTTGGATTCGCAATCACTGGTGACATCAGAACCTAGGTCAAGCAGCAGCTACTCCTTGTTTGAAGAAGGCGAGTGCACGCATACAGTTGTAGTCAGCCTTCAGCTGTACGTGCTCTTGTCTCTGTCGGGCTCCTGTCCTTCTAGAAACAAATATCCGCTTAACAAAAAAGAGCATAAGATTATTGAATAAAGGGGCGTGGCTAGTGCCCGAAAGTCCGAACGGGCGCGCGCATCCGGACGTCCGCGCTGCCTGCCTTCGTCCGCCGCTCCGCACCTGCCACACCCTGCCCCTCACATTGTGCCGAGCGCCTTCCCCCAGACCCCCTTCTCTTTCTCCATGTGGGCAGGACTCGGGAGCCGCCCCACCTCGTTGCGCCCCCGTTCACCAGCCCCAGCTCGTGACGCTCCATTCCCCGGCCCCGGGCCGTGCGCCCATCACTCACCATGCCCCGTGAAACACTTGCAACATGAAACACTTGGATGCAACATACGTCTGACACAGATGAAACATTTAAAACATACTTTTGCAATATAAGTGTGAAACATATGCAACGTAGAGATAGAACACTCGCAACATATGTGTGAAACATATGCAACATCCAGATAAAACACTTGCAACATGTGTGTGAAACATATGCAACATCCAGATAAAACATTTGCTGCAACATACGTCTGAAATAGATGAAACATTTTGAACAAACGCTTGCAACATACCTCTAAAAACACTTGCAAAAATATGCAACATGTGCAACATCCCGATCTACTTTTGCAATATCTATATATAACAATTACAACATACCTCTGAAATATTTGAAACGCTTGAAACATACATTTGCAACATAGGAGAGAGGAAGGTTGGAGCTGGTCGATTCCAGTCGTTAGGGTGGGATCCGGTGGCGAGCGAGCACCACCAACACCAGCACTAGCGGCGGCACGCGAGCACCACTACCACCACTGACCTTGGCTTGGCCGGTGGGCCGCACACGCTACAGGAGGGAGTCGGCGACGCGGTGCATGGCCAAAGGGAGGAGTGAGGTCAGGTGGGGCGTGCGATGGGCGGGAGAGAGGAGCAAGAGCGAGCGGCTCAAATGGGGCGCACGATAGGCGAGAGCCAGGAGCAAGCGAGAGAGCGGCGCAGGGTGGGGTGCACAGTGGGAGAAAAGTCGTAGCAGCGAACGGAGTGAGGTACGGTGTCCGGATATGACGGACACTCATGGCCAAGCATTATCGTTGAAAAATCATGGAGACGTCAACGTGAAAAGGCCCGCCCCAGGGTGGGTAGCCCAGTGATGTTGCCCTAACTCGGCGACTCCGACTATAAACGACACGAAAGGATAAGCTCCCTTTATCCCTCGAACGTTTGGACAAAAGACTGTTAATTACGTGCTCATGTTGTTTTTATCTACTCAAGTATACTAATATTCTGTTAACTTGAAGTGTTTGCACGTTTATGGACACTTCAAATGCTGACACCGAAAGGAAGATGCAGGGATGAAGAGTTCCTATGCATGCACCTTGCCGTCAGAGGCCACCTCGGCCCCGCTCCTTAACTCCGACCAACACCGAAAGGAAGGCTGGCCCCTCCACTTCTCCCCTCGCTTTTAACTTTTCCCCTAGGGCGACATCTCGACGGGGAGATTCAAGCTCTCCACCAGTGGGTTGATGATGTTAATGAAGACCTCCTCTGTGATAAGGACCCCTCTGGCGGCAAGTCTTCGACAACCGGACCCTTGAAAGGGCGCTCCTCCATGGTTGCGCAGGAGGCGGTGTTGCCTATGGTACGGTACATGCTACCTCCCACCTACTTAAGTCTATCATGGTGTGGTCTGGTAGCACCGAGGTCCTCTAGCAAAGGGGGATCGATAACTGGTTCGTTGTCGGGAGGTTGCCCCCAAGCAGCGCAGGCATCACCATTGGCACCAGAGTCGCTCGTGGCCTCAGCTAATCCAAGGGCTGCCGCACCGGGGACGCGACGAGTGCCCACTGTCGCAACGAGATATTGCACACTAGGGGCTCAAGCCCCAAGGTCTCGCCACCACTATGCACGCTGCCAGATGCGTGAGGGTGGTAGGACATCCTACCGTGGGACCACGCAAAGTTGCGGTGGTCAAGGAACCCGCGTGAATTTTCAGCGGCGCCGAGGAAGATCCCCTATGTCATGTTGGACCATCCCCTCAACCGTATCTTCAAGGGCAATGCTTTCGCTGCCTCGCGAAGGACCACAAGGTCGCATCGTGTCGTGACCCACTGAGGTGCTTCTGCTGCAATTGCAATAGGCATTTCCCTAAATATGGCCCGCCATGACTCCACCTATACAATCGCCAACAAATCAAGGATCGCTTCCAATGACCTAAATGATAGGTCGCACATTCAATAGCGACCCTACTTCCTCGATGACTTTCCACCACTCGTTGTGACTTCCATGCGACAATATGCTCATGAGAGAAGCGCCATCTTGAACACCGGGATGACAACCACAAGTCCAACGACTGAGTCCAGCATTGCCATGACACCGATGACCCTTTGTTGTGTCGCAGTTATCGCACCAACTCCCTGGGACGTGGATGGAAATGTACTTTCTAGGAACAAGGTATCCTCCCGTGGCTAACTATGATCCTTTGATGGATCCATGAACAAGCTCACATCTCTATCTCCATTTCCCTGGTAATGGGAAAGGTGTGCATCTGAAGATCCTATGCTTATGGAGGCTAGCCTTGTCAAGAGTACTTTGGCTGGGTTGAGTCAAACAATGTCATCTGCATTGAGACAAGCAGGCCTCTGACTACATGTGAGTCTCTTCCAGATATTTACATGCTTGAAGCTCAGTGAGAAGAGGAGGATGGGACACCTATGGCCCCGAAGGACTGCATTAGCGCCAAAATAGCTACTCTGATGCCTGTCCTCTGGTCAGATTCCTATTGATAACAGTCCAACTGACTCACCGCTACTGATATTAACCACATCGGCAAATGGTGGGTCTTCTTTAGTGCCAGTGGAGCGAAGGGCACAACACCGCCTAGCCCAGCAAATAGAAATACTCAACACTGACAAGCTATATTTGGAGAGGAATAAGGAACGCCTCCTCCACACATGTGACTACGGCCTTGTGGCTCTAGCCAGCGTGCGTAATGGTTCATCCAAGAAAGCTCATGTTATACAAACTGAGTTAAAATGCTCTAAAGTTTAGAGGAGGGGACCCAAACAAGCCTAAGTGTTTAGTCGTGTTACGCCTCTAAGGCATTTATCTGTATACGGGATCATTAAAAAGAAGCAAGCCGTCTGCAAAAGAAATGGTTCCAATGGTTATTATTGTCGATGAGAAATGAGATACATAATCATCCATGTTTCTATTTTTTTAGAAGTTCTAATATCCATCCTTTTTAGCGTGTCCGAGGCTTGAAGGAAGAGCCCGACGTTACTAATGCTATGATTTTATTGATTCATCGTGGTAGGTAAAAATGGTGGAGTTGGACTTGCAATCACCGGTGACATCCGACCTAGGTCAGCACTAAAATACTACTCGTTCGAAGAAGGCGAGTACATGCACTGCAGCGCAGTTGTAGTCGCCTTCAGGCTTCAGCTGTCCTACTCTTGTCTGTATCCCGTACTCCCGTCCTTCTAGAAACAAATATCGGCCTGACAAAAAGGCTCATAAGATTCTTGAAAATCCATGGACGCGTCAACGGGGAAAGGACTCAGCCCTGGGTCAGTGCTGTTGCCTCGACTAGTTAACGACGACGCAAGCTGCAAGCAGGTTCCTTTATCCCTCACAACGTGCTCGTGCTGTTGTATGGTACGCACTCAAAAGTACACTGTTATATCAAGTGCTTGCACGTTTATATGGACACTTTAAATACTAAACGTTTATATGGATTAATTAGGTTTAATAAATTTATCTCGCGGAGTATAAGGACTTCTATAATTTGTTTTATTATTACTATCCGAACACTCCCATGTGACACCCTAGACGCCCTGGATTTAAACACCGCCGATGTCCAAAGTACCAGTGGGTGTGGAGCATCATTTCGTAACGTTTGTGTATTACGGCCCGACCTTCCAGAAACCGGAAGAGCGACGCGGTTTTCCATGTCGATGTGGACGTCAATCAAGTGGTTTTGCTCTTGCAAACGGCAAGACTGAAAAATACTATTCCGGCTGATTGTTGTGAGAAAAAAAATACTATTATGATAGGACGCGTACAGTAATTCTGTGAGGTGGCTGGCCAGTCGGCAACCAGCCAACCAGCCAGCCGAACACAGCCGAAAATGCCCGTTCCCACTTGCATTCTGCTGGCATCACCACTGATCTCACCGGCCCCGACAACCCACCAAGCGCCCCGGTGACTAGAACGTCAAACGGTCGTCCAGAAAAACGCGGTATAAATAGCACCCTCCACCCTCAGCCCACACAAACAACCTCGCCTCCGATCCAAGTGTCAGCAGAAAAACAAGCTTTCTTTCAACCCAGCAAGAAAACCAAGAGATCTAGCAGAAGATTTCCTACTCGGCCGCGCGCACGTGCAGACCCGATCTGACTGAGACTCTGAGAGGTAGCAGCTCGGCAGTGACCGCGAGCCATGGGACTGGCCTGGATGGTGGCTGCGGCCGTCGCGGCGGTGCTGGCGTCGTGGGCGTTCAACGCGCTGGTGCACCTCATCTGGCGCCCCTACGCCATCACCCGGAGGTTCCGCGCGCAGGGCGTGCGCGGGCCGGCCTACAGGTTCTTCACCGGGAGCCTCGGCGAGATCAAGCGGCTCCGCGGCGAGGGCGCCGCCGTCACGCTGGACGTCGACGACCACGACTTCATCCCCATGGTGCAGCCGCACCTCCGCAAATGGATCGCGCTCTACGGTACGTGCGTCGTGACAGGCCGCCCTGCTGGCTGCTGCTTATTCGTTTGTTATTAGGTCCTCCATGACTGCAAATTGCATGTTTCTTAACTACGTACGACGCCGTGAATGGCTGCACAGGCCGGACGTTCGTGTACTGGACCGGCGCGAGGCCGAACGTGTGCGTGGCGGACGTGAACGTGGTCAGGCAGGTGCTCTTCGACCGCACCGGCCTCTACCCCAAGAACCTCATGAACCCGCACATCTCCCGCCTGCTCGGCAAGGGCCTCGTCCTCACCGACGGCGACGAGTGGAAGCGCCACCGCAAGGTCGTGCACCCGGCCTTCAACATGGACAAGCTCAAGATGATGACGGTCACCATGTCCGACTGTGCTCGCTCGATGATGTCCGAGTGGAAGGCACAGCTCGCGAAGGGCGGCGGCCACGTGGAGGTCGAGCTGAGCAGCCGGTTCGAGGAGCTCACCGCCGACGTGATCTCGCACACGGCGTTCGGGAGCAGCTACAACGAGGGGAAACAGGTCTTCCTGGCGCAGAGGGAGCTCCAGTACATCGCCTTCTCGACCATTTTCAATGTCCAGATCCCAGCTCTCAAGTACCTTCCAACCGAGAAGAACCTCAGGACACGGAAGCTGGACAAGCAGGTGAGGGGCATGCTCATGGACATCATCAAGACACGCCTCGCCAGAAAGGACACCGCCGGCTACGGCAACGACCTGCTCGGGCTCATGCTGGAGGCGTGCGCGCCGGAGCACGGCGAGACGCCGGTGCTGAGCATGGACGAGATAATCGACGAGTGCAAGACCTTCTTCTTCGCCGGGCACGACACCACGTCGCACCTGCTCACCTGGGCCTCCTTCCTTCTGAGCACACACCCGGAGTGGCAGGACAGGCTCCGGGAGGAGGTGCGGCGGGAGTGCGGCGACGAGATCCCCACCGGCGACGCGCTCAACAAGTTGAAGCTAGTCAACATGTTCCTCCTGGAGACGCTGCGGCTCTACGGCCCGGTGTCCCTGATCCAGAGGAAGACAGGATCAGACCTCGACCTCGGTGGCGTCAGGGTACCCGAGGGCGCGATCCTGACCATTCCAATCGCGACGATCCACCGCGACAAGGAGGTCTGGGGCGATGACGCCGGCGAGTTCAAGCCGGAGAGGTTCGAGAACGGGGTGACCAGGGCGGCCAAGTACCCCAATGCGCTGCTGTCTTTCTCCAGTGGGCCAAGGTCGTGCATCGGTCAAAACTTCGCAATGATCGAGGCCAAGGCTGTGGTCGCCATGATCCTGCAGAGGTTTGAGCTCGAGCTGTCCCCAAAATACGTCCACGCGCCCATGGATGTGATCACCCTGCGGCCCAGGCATGGGCTCCCCATGCTCCTCAGGCGTCTGTAGGGGCAATGACAGTACGACTAGAGTCGAATGCATGCTGTATATGTCTTACCAGAGTAGCACATTCCAATTTATAGTAATTTTTCTGCACTACATAATGTTATTTTTGAACCCATCTACTTTATTGTGTTTGGTTCTGAGACATGGCGGGTGGGACACTCATGTCTCTGTTTTGAGTTATGAGACGGTTTCATCTCGTGTTTAGTTGAGGGGGATTAGATCATTTTTGTCTAGTGTTTGGTTGAAGGCAGAGGCGAATCTACAATATATATCCATTGGGGTAACCTTGCAACGGTAACTTTCTGAAAACTCACTAAAAGTTGTTTTTACTTTAACCCAGTTGCTTAGTGCTTGACCCCAGTGACATAATATCCTAGATTCGCACCTAGTCGAAGGATATCGAAAAGTGGGTTGAGCCATGACATATATGGTCTACATGTCAACATTTTTTCCCTCATCTTCCACCTTACTAGTTTCTACCCCACCGCTTGCATTTGGTACCGTCGGTCGTTGGAACTCAGCCCTAGGCCTCAGCATGCTGACGCCTGCACCTTGTGGCCCCCGTCGTTGGACCATGGCCCTGCGCCCCCTCTGCCCTCTGTCGTCTGCACCGACCATCCTCCGCTAATTAGCTTGGCGCGCGTCGCTCCTCTTCTCCTCTCCTCTGCTGGTGAGCTCGGACGGGCACTGCTTCACCCGGAGCACATGCCTCGCCCTTGTGCACGCTCGTCCCACTTAGGGCGACCTCGTCCATCAAATTTCTGGAGACGAGTTGAACCCACATCTAAAAGGTATATTCTCTAGTGGGGATTGTCCCGTCTCCGATTGTCCCATAACCAAATAGCATGCGAAAGATGGAATATCCCACCTGAAACAATCTCATCAAACGCTACCTAAACTCATGGGTGTCCTAAGACGGTCTCCAACAGCCTACCCACTACGGCACCCAAACCTAAATATGTCTCGTTCATGTTGGTTTAGGTGAAAAAAGCACGGTCCAACGGAGTAGGGAAACCGAAGACCCAATTTACGTCGGCGTCGAGTGGGAACCCAAATAAGCGTCCGTCTCTCTCCTCGACCCATATCTCTTCCACGCCCGCACAACCGTTTTGCGGGAGGGGAAAGAAGAGGAAAGCGCACCCGGCGAGTCGCTGTCGGCGAGATCTGCACCGAGCTAGGCTTCGCAGGTATGGATCCCTCTGCCCCACCGCCGCGGAGCCCTAGCCAGCCCGTCCTGCGATGGCGCGTCCCCGCCCCAACGGCGCAGCCGCTGCCGCTCGTCCGCTCCATGCTTCGGCTGCCGCTGGCCGGCCAGCTCCTAGGCGGACAGGAGCTGGTTTCGTTTCTGTCCTTGGCTCCCTACATTTCCTCCCCCATCTGTTGTCGCTCGTTTAGATTTGGCTTGATCCGCTGCTGATCCATCTGTGTAAAGTTCTTCGCGTCATCTGATTCTCATGACCGAGATGGATTGAATCGTGAGCTATGTGGTAGTACAGTTGGAAATCACAAATCTGTGAGTATATATAATAGCCAGTGTTCACCCATGAATCATTTTACAGGGCAGATGGTAGTGGTAGATTTGTCATAGGAAAAAAATATTGTATGCTGTCCGTGTGTGTGTGTATCCAATTTACCATGCCTGAACGAATGAACAAACGATGCACTACTTTAAATACAAAACGACCCATGTTTAGTAATATATGAAGTAATAGTAAGCAAGACAAAAAAAATTGTGACTGCATTCACGATGGAAGGCTTATTTGCATCAACCTACTTTGAGAATGAGTAGAGCTGCAAATCGAAGATATTCCACTCGATCAGCAGTAAGGCACCCCCAAAGTCGCTTGATCAATTGGACTGGCATATGCATACGACCTGGCAATGGGAATAGAATAATGGTGCTTATCTTATGATTTCACCATGAACTTAGCAATTGTGTGTACTGCATTCCCGTTTTATTTCGTTGTCCATCTTTTTTTTGGGTGTTCTCAGTTGCATTTTAGTGAAACATAAACTCTAGACTAGACTTCTCGTATTAGGCCTTTATTTTATCATAGCACAACTCTATTTTGTGGTGGATTATTAGCTGACATATGAGACAATTGGGATTTAAATAGGGCAAACTAGTACTGTCTGTGTTACTCTATGAGCCATCTTAAACTAAACAATATTAAATACAGTAGAAGACTTGCCTTGTTGACTACTTCCCCGTGGCATATATGTTCCTGGTGGTTTTAGATAGGGACCAAATTGCCTATGGATGAAAGAACCAAATGCATCGTCTGTGCTGATATATTCTTTTGCTTCTTGTTGTGCATCACCATTATTGAATCTCTTTGAACTAGGACTATGGATAACATTTTTAGTGGCACAAGTGGTCGCGTTGGCGAATCTGGAGAAATCTTTAGGGCAGATCAGTGGCTTTTGGTTATTCTGCTGCTTTGCAATCTTTGGATGTTCCTCCAAACCCTCAGGTTTATTGCAGCCATGCATGATGGTTTGTTCTATTTACATATCAATACATCAATGATTAACGGTTCTTTTCATCACTAGTTCAACATGCATGGCTCCTCCCAGATGTCATGCCCACCTATGAATGGGCAACTTAGTCAGGGGTTCTCCATTAACAACACCCATGGCTCTCAGGACCCTCCATCATTGAAATCACAGAGGGCCGCAAAGAAGAAAAACGTGTCCAGGAGAGGAACTGCATTCACCAAAGAGGAGGACTTGGTGGTGTGTTCGGCATTTCTGAATATTAGCAAAGACCCTATTACTGGTAATAGTTTACAACGTATTTTAAGAAATCTTTGATCCTTTGATGCCCAAATAACATGGTGGCATAACATGCAGGTGTGAATCAGACTTCAGGTGGTTATTACAAGAGGATACATGATTATTTCAATGAGCATAAGCCTGAAGGGTCTAACCGTAGCGAGATTGCAATTCAGCATAGGTGGGCATTGATTCAGAAAGTGATGAACAAGTTTTGTGGGCACAAAGAAGCTATTGATAGGCCGAATGAGAGCAGAAAAAATGAGCAGGATCGGGTATACTTCCACTTATGTTGTCCTCCATCTCTCTAATTTCCATATGTTTATTTTTTGAATCGGTTTAGTCTATATTCATATGTGCAGATTGATGATGTTGTACAAATGTATGAGATGACAGAACCTTTTACCATCATGCATTGCTGGAAAAAACTTCGCAATGAGGCCAAATGGAACAAGTTTCTTGAGCGAAACAACTCTACATCACCGGATGGAATGTCATCTCCTCCAACTCAAGGCCATACTGTGGCTGGTCATGCAGAATCTAGGAATGATAATATAGACACATCACGTCCCGAGGGTAGGGATAGTGCGAAGAGGCATAGATCAAAGAACTTTACAGAGACATCATCATCTAGTACGGCTGTTGAAGTCCTCCAGCGGTTGTAGGAGAAATCAGAGAAGACCGAACAGAAGCAAGACCAACAAATGACTAAAATCCTTAGTAGGAAGGATGAAAAAATTAAAATTCAAAGGGATCTTTTCAACCTTCAGAAGAAGCATATGAAGATGAGTGTGCAGCATGTGGGGGTATTAACCCCTATACCCTTACGGCTAGGCTTGGGCCGGCCCAGACTAGAGGGTCCGGTCCACCAAAAGACGACGCGCGGCCAGGCCAACCTGTTCGGAGTCCCGCGCAAGGAGTCAAGACGGATTTGGCGATCAAGCAAGATCCTAGTCGGTTAGAATAGGAATCCTTATACGGCCACCTATGGCAATTGTAACTGGCTAGGATTAGTTTCCAGATCTGTAACCTTGCCCCCCGGACTATATAAGGTGGGCAGGGGACCCCTCTAAAAATCATCTCTCATTGACATACAACAATACAATCAGACGCAGGACGTAGGTATTACGCCTTCTTGGCGGCCGAACCTGGATAAAACCTCGTGTCTATCTTGCATCACCGTCTTGTTTGTGGCTTGCGCATCTGTCTGCCGACAATCTACTACCTTGGGCATACCCCTGGGTAGACTGTCGACTATATTTCGTCGACAGTGGCACACCAGGTAGGGGGTGTGCGTACTGCTCTCCAAGCAAACAAGATGGTCATCATCCCCGGCTTCATGGCTACACCGAACGTCCTCATGTTCACCAATGGTCAGATCACCTAGACCACCGGCTCCGACGACTTCATCGCCACGATCACGGAGGAGGCGCGAATTCAATCTGCGTCGACCGCTGCTTCACCTGCATCGGCTACGGCTCCGACCACGGCTGATCTGGCTCCGACCACGGTGGATCTGGCTCCGACCACGGCTGACCTGGCTCCGACCACGGTGAATCTAGCTCCGACCACGGTGGATCTGGCTTCGACCACGGTGAATCTGGCTCCGACCATGCCCGCATCGCCTTCAGCCACGCTGACAACCCGTCGTCCGTTTCCCCGCTACGAAGGGAAGCAGATCGACAACACAGACCTGCTTGACTCCATCGATCGGGTCGGCACCAAACTTGCTGAAACCCTAGCTCTGGTAAGTTCAATTCAAAGTGGGCCTAATGAGCAGGTAACCGCTTCCCACAACAGATCTACCCGACCAGCTTGGGCCAGTCGTCCTGCACGACTTGGTACAGATCTCGTGGTCATGTCTACTCCTGAAGGGCGCTCCGCTCGTCGCCGACCAGCCTCCGCGATGGGTCTCCGGCTCTCCGAGTACGAAGCCTCGACAGAGAACTACCAGGCCCAGCCTTACGGCCTGCGAAACGCTGCCTCCAACTACGCGTATAATGTACAACGCCGCTCGGATCTGTGTTTCATACATCGACCTCAGCTGAAGCCACGCAACTTCATCAACATGATCCGGATTGAAGATTATCAAGAAGGATCCGTACACACAGTCCCAGAGGGTGACTCCGACTCTTCGTTTGGCATCGCATCCAATGCCTCCGTCCACACTGAGCTCCAGCATCACGATGATGAAGGCGTCGAATACGATTTGGATATACCAGACCACACCCTGGGGTTCCCACAATTCTCATCTTTCCCACCAAGACGAGGGGATTTGATCAATGTGGTCAGTAATGACGAACCACCAGCAGTCGGCGAAACAGAACATGAAAGGATTGCACGCGAAACACGCAATATTGACCGGTTTAATCGCCGACAAATCGAAGCTGAGGCAGAAGAGGCGGCACGACGCATAAGGGTCTAGCCACGCGACCTCAACAATGCCTTCGACAGGGTGGGGGACAAACAGGTCTTCAGGACTCCAAGCGCCAACGTAGCCGTTGCTATGGCGACAATGCAACGGCTACCCAATACCCCGGAAACTCAAGCAGTTTGCGATGAAATACAAGCCTATCTGACGGCTGCTATGGCCCAGACCGCAGAGATTGTAAATCAAGCCCGGGCTCCATCCATCTCAGTCGAGTCAAGCCACAGCCGCCAGTATTCAAGTCGCTCACAGCCACCCGACCAACGTGGCTCGCGGAACAACGACCCGTCAGACAACCGTCAAGGCGGAAACGGTGGCCATGAAGGTGGTCGAGATGACAACCGCCGTCGAGAGGTCAACCGCCGCAACGTCCGGGACGACAACCGCCGAGACAACGGCGATAATCGTCGCGATAACCACGGTCGCAGGGCTAATCTAGATGGCAACCGAGATCGCCGCGATGGCAATAACGATCTTCGCCATTACCTCGGAGGACGTGATCTTCGCGATCGCATCAACCAGAGAGCCAACGATCATGCATCCCACGAAAGCTATCGCCGTATGGAATATGATACTGCCCATGGCCCGCCGGGTTTGAAGTAGTTTACTCCGCACCTTCGCCAAATCATATGGCCCAAGAACTTTAAGCTAGAAAAACTTCAGAAGTATGACGGTAAGGAGAACCCTGAATTATGGGTCATGCTCTACGAGACCGCGTGCAGATCAGCCATGGCTGACGAGCACGTCATGTCTAACTACTTTCCAGTCATTGTTGGTCATGCAGGTCACCAATGGCTGGTCAGCTTGCCGGCAAACTACTTCGATTTCTGGCAAGAACTCAAGCAAGCTTTCATTGACAACTTCATTGCTACTTGTGAGCAACCCGGCAACAAATATGATCTGCAGTGGATTCGAGATCGGAAAGATGAGCCGCTGTGCGAATACATTCGGCGTTTCTCGAAGATGCGCATCAAGGTCCCGTCAATCTCCGACAGCGAGGCAATCGAGGCTTTCATCACTGGCCTCCGCTTCCACGACGCCCTAAGGGACAAGCTCCTCCGCAAGAGGCCTGAATCGGTCACAGCGCTCCTAGCCACCGCTAAGAAATATGCAGATGCCGACGATGCTAAAAAGATAATTATCGAAGAAGCAGCAAGGGTTCCGCGCTCCGACCACCCTCCACACCGCGATGACTACCGCGTCAACCGTGGTCGGAACGACAATTTTGACCGCCGCGACCAGCGCAACGACTCCCGCGACCACCACGACCAACGTAATCAGCGGCGTAACCGCCACGACGATTATAGGGGCAAGCGTGCTCGGGAAGACGACGGCGAGGTCAACACCGTCAAAAAAGGGGGCGGACGTCGTAACTACGAAGAAGACTACGCCAAAGCATTGAAAGGACCGTGCCAGCTCCATCCCAAGTCAAACCACACCATGGAGAACTGCTGCGTTCTCAAGTCTATCTACACGCGTCAACAGGCTCCGGATACGTCCGACAAGCCTAACGATGTAGGGGAACAGCGCAACGAAGACAACGACGATGAAGACGCAGATCCCCATCACAAGTATGTCAAGCCAACCGATCGCGTGCACACCATCATTGGAGGCAAAGTGTCCATCGAGACCAAACGAGAACGCAAGCTGCTCGCCCGCGCTTGTTTGAACGTGGCCAACACCGACAACCTCATCACCGATCCACGGCTCCCTCCTTGGTCTCACCGTGAGATCTCCTTCAGCAGAAAAGACCAATGGGCTGCAATACCTGAACCAGGACGTTTTCTCCTGGTCCTCGATCCTTGTATCAACAAAGTTTAATTCGACAGAGTGCTGATTGACGGCGGCAGCTCCATCGATATACTGTTCAAGAACAGTCTGTCGGCCCTGAAGATAACCCAGGCGGATCTCAAGCCATACGAGGCACAGTTCTGGGGTGTTCTCCCCGGACAGAGCTCTACACCTCTCGGGCAGATCACGTTACTCAATGCGCTTTGGGACCCCAGACCACTTCCGCACCGACTCACGTCAACTTCGTGGTTGCCGACTTGACGGCACCTACCATGCTATCCTTGGTCGACCAAATACCACCAAGTTCATGGCCATACCTCATTATAGGTATCTGGTGTCAAGATGCCCTCACCGACAAATGGCGAGCCAGGATTTCACAGATTTGGGTATTCCGTGTACAAAAAAAATCGATGTAAATGTGCAATAGTAATAATCAAAGTACAAGATCTAAACATAGTAGCATAGTGCCATTGTCTATAATAATTAAGAAAGATTACAAAACATCAAAAGCTCAAAACTACTAAAATTGAACTCTACAATCCTCTTTTTGGAATTCATTAATGATATTATCATCTTTCACTTGACTGAAGAATTCTCTCTCAATAAATGTGACCAAACAATTGTTCAAAATATTCATCACCCATTTTATTATTTTGCTTGTTCTTTACATAATTCATGGTGGAAAACACTCTCCCAACACTAGCGGTGGCTATAGGAAGAATTAGCACCAACTTAAGAAGCTTATAGACAACATAATACTGCTCATGTCTTTATGTGCTAACAAGCATGACTGAAAGCTCGCGTAGGTTCTTTAAATTTTTAAACCTTTCGTCTCTACGAACCTAAGAAATGTACACATTGAGTCGACATAAGTTGGGAAGCGGGAGCGGCGGCCAAGAAAATGATCGACCCTTTTTTGTTCTTTGGGTTTGCTCATTTGCTTCTGTCTGTTGGGCTTTGGGGCTTTGGTCCAGTCGGCCAGATTTGCAAATGTAGCAAATATATAAGCGTATACATGTATATGTATTTGTGTTTGTTTACAAAATCTTGGGTATTCCATGGCATACAGGGAAATACCCCTGGCGCCGCCCCTGCCTACCGAGAAAGGAGTTCTAACTCTCAGGGGCAACATATACGCAGCTTATACCTGTGAGGACGACAGCTTCAAAGTAGCACGTGCACGCGCCATGGTCGAGGCGAGGGCCGTGGTCGCCGCGGTCCTGCAGCGGCTCCTGCTCACGCTCTCGCCGGAGTACGTGCACGCGCCGACCGACGTCATCACGCTGCGCCCCAAGCACGGGCTCCCCATGATCGTTACGAGCGTTGATGATGCTTGATGCGTAGTGCGATATCTACGTAATACAGAGTACATTCTTACAGAGAGCTGTTGCTGTACATTATCATTTTCTTTTGCGAGACTGTACATTATCATATTAGTGAGCGGAC